GCTGAGGTCCTTCCTTATTCTAGGACTCTTGTCTCGTATCCGTTTATCTCAGACTCCGATATCTTCGGAGATAAGCTCGGCCTAGCCGAGATCACCTCGGCATCACGACTAGGACACGTGGCACCCCAGTTGATACGTCGGCGTTACCTTGACCACGTATTGATACTCAAAAAATGTATCCCTACAAGCTTATAACGACTAACACTTGGACTTGGTTGATTTGTTCCCACAACACATTTGCAAATGTGATTTGTTGAGATGTATTTCTTTAATCCATTCAATGCCCACTTCTTTTAAAAGTTATTAATAATTTTGTTTCAAATTTTGAATTTGCTACCATAAATATATTTAGAAAACAATAAAAGTCATTTTTTTTTAAATTTTTTTTAACTTTGTTTTTTTAGAAGCGTGCATATTCATGTTTGACGGAACTCCACCAAAATGCATTGCTGCGGACATTGAATTTATGTTCTTTTCTTTGATTTTTTTTTTTTATTTTGCAGTATTATTGATTTATTTATTGGAAATCGGACAAAGAAATTTAAATTATTTTGCGGTATTAAAGATCATATTCCTTTTGCTGATTTCGTGAAAACTTTAAATTAATGATTTTTTTTTTTATATATATTTTAAAGTCAGCTTTTAATGGAATTCATTCATGAAGAACCTTATGCCTTGTCTGATCAATAGATTATTCTTTTTCTTTTCTCATTTTATTATATATATCTATATATTTGACAATTTAGAGTAGAGAATAAAAAAATCGAATATGATCTTTATTTTTCACACTTACTTTTAGATTAATTTCAATAATTAAAAATATGGCACTGGTCGATTAGTTAATTAGGTACATTTCAATAATTATATATTAATTTCCCAAGAAACTTATATATTTAGCTTATAAGGGTTGGACCAATACATTATTAATTCAATTCTACATGACCCACAAGACTATATATAATATTACAAGGATATCCAATCGGATATCTTATGATGCTAAGTTCAAAGACACATTCATTGAATATTGATTTTTTTTTCCTTTTATTTAAAAAAAAAACCTCAAAATTAAAACAAATAGATTTAAATAAATAAAAATCGAAGGCTAAATTAAAAATATTAGGGAGTGAGATTATTATTAAAAATTTAGATTAGATGGCTTGAACATGGGGGTTATTCATGTTTATAAATGGGTATGCAAAATGTATTTGCCACGCACAAGCAAGAAAAGAAAAAAAAAAAACAAGCAAAAAGAAAGAAGGATTATAAGATGGTTTACCATCGCTATGCAATACCTACAACGAGGCATAAAAATTCAGTATAATGATGATATTATTTTATTATTAACATATAGTATTATTAATTGCTAATAAAATTACATATTGAGATATTGAATCTCATTATTTAAATGTAATTATATAATTTTGTGACTGTCACATATACATAGGGGGCTTATCATGACTATATGATACTTTGTTATTGAATGTTGATATTATGTGTCTGTGGTATTTTAATAAACTATCAAACAAATTTTAATAATTTATTTTATTTATTCATGCTTGGAATTTATGTAAATTTATATAGTTGATTGCTAATTTTTATTCTTAATATGAGTATTATTTTATATTTTTGTTCACAATTTTCTCTTCTTTATTTTAAATTTGTAGATTAATTTAAATTTGATTCTTTCTTTTAAAATTGAGCTCAAAGCCAACTTGATTATGTAATTGAGTTGACTAAAGTCAAAGTTCAAATTTCTCAAATATTTAACTAACCAAACTTGAATTGTATTTTCTTTTTTAAACTCGATCAGCCTAACTGAAGCTCAATTAATTTTTAGTAAACTTATCTCAAACATCCTAAAACTAGGATCAATTCATTTGCACTTCTATTTAAAAAGCTTATGTAATTAGGGATGTGATGATGTGACAAATTATTTTATGAAACTAATTCTTTGGTCCTTCATTCCCAATTTTGGTAGTATAAATAATTGAAATGGTGGACCATATGAATTCTGTGGTTAGGCCTTTTTTTCATATGAATTTTGTCTTCCTATAATTAATTATGTTCCTTGTTATACTGTAAAAAATAAAAAATCAACCAGCTCAAAATTCACGTTTTTTTGTGATAATTCCACAATCTTCTCTATAATTTTGTTCCTGGGCTCCATCAGACATGACTATGGGGTTGTCAGTTTTCAACAAATATCCATTTTCTTTCCAACTGGAAGATAGGATTGGACATTAATGTGTGCCCCACACAAGATTCATGTGGATAATCTAAGTCGGTTGTAGATTATTTATAGTAATAAATTAAATTAATTTGATAATTATAATTATAAATTTCATTAATTTTGTTTATTATTTTGCCTTCAAAAAAATAGACGAATTATTTTAAAAAAATTATTAACTTTCTGTTTTTCATAAGTCAAATTTAATGAAATTATGGAGTACAATTATCGAATCAGTTATAATTTTTTTTTAGTGTTCTATACACATTTAAAAATAAATTCCTTAAATCATCCATGTGGACCTTGAGATGGACACATTGATGCAAACTATTTTTTTTTTTTTTGTTACAGGAAAATCCTCTTATTCTTCCACATGTCTAGGGCAGCGCTCCTTGCAGAGATCACTAAGGTGTCATGCTGTCCGTTCCAAGATAAGAGACTATAATCTGAGAACTTGCCCTGATCTCCCAAGACAAGATCTGCTTAAGTCAGGACTCGAACATGATAAGAGACTATAATCTGAGAACTTGCCCCGACCTCCTGAGACAAACTCCGCTTAAGTCAGGACTCGAATAGCGGGGGAGTATTGAGCCCACACCAAGTGTTGTGGTAGCAACAACTTGAGGCTAACCTCCTAACCAATTACCCTATGCCCAGGACATTGGTCCTAGGGATTTTGAACTTGGGACCTAGAGTCTTAACCCCTAAGCCTTTACTAAGTTGTCAAACCCCCTTGGGTTAATGCAAACTAGTTCAATTTAAACCTCATTATTTGGCCTAAAAACTCATTGCCTAGTGTAAACCTGTACAGCTTACCGGGCATTTACCCAGCTCGAACCTTGAGTGGGTCGGCTTGGCTCGAGTAAGATTATGTTTAGGCTTTGGATTTGAAGCCCATTTTAGCCAATTGGCTCATAAAAAGTTTCTACCAACTCGAACCTCGAGTGGGTAGGCTTGGCTCGAGTGAGAGTGTTGGGCTTTGGATTTGAAACCCATTTCAGCCACTCGACTCATAAAAGGTGACTTGTTGGGAAAGCCTACAAGCCTGGAAAAAAAAATGCAAAAAAAAAAATTTAAGGTTTCGTTTGGTAACACTTACATTTTTAGTTTTCTATTTATATTTATAAAAATTTAAAAAACTCAAATAAAAACTTATTTGGTAAAATTTTTAATTTATAAATTAGTGGTCTCAGTTTATAAATTTGGCCAAAAAATGAAAACACAAAAAATGTGCTTCCATTTTGAGTTTTTAATTTTTTTTTTTTACCACCCAGCATTAGCCACCATTTTCCACCACCGTCTTCTGTCACTACCACCCACCACCACCCGTCACCACTTTCCACCACCGTCTTCTGCCGCCACTTGCCACCATTTGTCATTTCTCATTCTTTTTTATATTTTTAAAATTTTTTAAACGTTTTGTCAATTACCAAACGCGTTTGTAGTTTATGTTTTTCTAAAAATAAACAAAAACCAATTTATAAAATTTTTATAAATATAAACTGAAAACGTAAACGTTACCAAACACATCCTAAATATTTACTTATTAAGCTAAATTCATGAGCTGACCCTGTTAGCCTGTCTATCAATCCAATTTGCAAGGTCATCTAAGGCAAAACCTAGTACAGTAAGGCGCCGTTTGTTTTGGGTGAAATAGAAGAGAGGAAATTAGAATGGATGTGGTATTATTTAGTGTTGTGTTTATTTATAGAGTTGGGGAGGGGATTATGATGGAGAAGGTGATATAGATAGATGTTGGAAGGGGGATTGAGATGGAGGAGGTAGAGATGGTATTAGAAAAATAGTGAGGGGATTAGAAATTTTTTTATTTTTTATATATTGAGATTTTTTAAAAAAATATTAATGTTTAATTTTTTATATTTTTTTATTTGTTTTATTAGTTTATATAAAAATAATTTAACAATTCCTACACTAACAATTGTTATCAAAATAAACACAATTTTACTTAAACCCCTCACTATTAATCCCCTCCATTCTACCTCTGAAAACAAACGGGGCCTAAAGGGTATTTTGGAAAGATGATTAAAACCTAATTTTTAAATTTTTTAAAATCTTTTTGACTTTTTTATGTGAGAGGCGATGTGACTTACAATAAATTAAAAGCTAATTTTTAACCTTTTTTTTTTTTGTTGGTATATTTCCAAATGACCCATAAGTTTACTACCACAATAGGCAAAGCAAAAATACTAGAGGCCGCAAAAATTCTATCAAAAGTTTTACCAAATGTCTCACATGAGTGTGGGACCCACATGGGACCCACATTGTGTGGGTCCCACACATTTGGTAAAACTTTTAGTAGAATATTTGGGATCTCTAGCATTACTCATAGGCAAAGTTCTTAACACCATAAACACATGTTTTTTAAAAACAATAATTTGGGAGCATTAATTGACCATTAATTATGTGAAAATTTTTTTTAAAAAAAAAAACAAATTTAAGATCAAAACATCACATCAATAAATGGGACCTATCAATTAGTGCTATCCTAATGCTCTTAAATTAGTGGTCTTAAAGATTTTTCTCTTGCAAATTTGTAATGAAGTATTTTAAAAAATAAAATAAAATAAAATAAAGAATGAAAAAAGAATAATGTAAAATGACCATAATGCCCCTGAGATTATTTCATGTAAAAATCTTGAATTATCATAGTGACCCCACTGTACAAGAAAAGAACCTGAGCCTCCCAACTGGAAGTGTTGGTTGGTAGCATATGCTTTTGGACAGCCTCCAATTATTCTACCTCCTTCAAACGAATATCCAATCGACACCACCCTCTTCTAGGATTCCTCTCTCATCTTCTCTCTCTCTCTAACTCACACACGCACGCACACACTTGACAACACAATACTCAAAGATAACCCAACTCCTCTCTTACAAGTCACCGTACATATATATGTTTATGCATCACCACCAACAATCATCATGTCCATTCATTCTCTCTTTATAAATCCTTCTCTCTCTCCTCCCCCCTTCTCTGCTTCCTCTTCTTCATATTCATATACACCTACTTCAATTTCAATCTCTCTAAAGCACAATCTTTCTTGTTTTTGTAATCCAAGAGCACAACCCATTGGCCTTGTTTGCACGAAGACTCATTCTTTTTTGCAATCTGAAAGACACAAGAGTGGGAGATTATTGAATCTTAGGTCTTTCAAAGTTGCAAGCAACATGACCATCAGAGAGTTGAGGGATGAAGAGGAGGAGGAAAATCCCCCTGCTTTGCTTGAATCAGAAATTTGTTCTAGGCCTCGCCGAATTGCTCTCTTTGTTGAGCCCTCTCCTTTTTCGTGAGTCTCTGATTCTACTTCTGGGTTTGTTGTACAATGATCTTGAGGTGCATAATTAATTATTAATCCAAATTGTGGTGACCCATTTGGTTAATTGCTCTCTTGTTGATGTTCTTTTGTTAATTTGATTGATGGTTTTTAGTTTTGTTCTGTACTTTTTGTGTTTGATGTATTGATTTCGGTGGTGTGAGGTTGAGCTGTGTACTTTGATGCGAGTTTTGATTCGATGAATTGTTAATTTGAACTGTAATTTGCTGGATCTAAAAGTGAATTCCACATAAATCTCTGATTTCTGAGACTTTTTTCTGCAACAACCCTAGTGGGTTTCTAGCTTTGCATATATTCCATGGGCATGGGATGCTTAAAGTGGCTTTTGTAAAAGTCGGGCAATGTGCTTATTAATTGGACTTTGATTCTAATTCTCCACTACTTTGGTGGAGCTTAATTTCACTTAGCTGTGAGTTAAAAGATTTTGTTCTTTGTGTTTTGTTGTCTCACAAGAGTTATACCTGTATCTGTGACTTGTAGCTGCTATGGATGTGTGGATTTTTAACATCAATTTCATGGCTTGAACTGTAGCTCTAATGGTTTTTTTTTTTTTTTTTCTTTTTTCTTTCCAAAACCTAACTCTGATTCTTTTATTTTCTAACATATGTTTTAAGTTGGGCCTATTCAACTGTAATTGTATAGCGTGCAAGTGTATTGAGCATACCATGTAGGGCTGATGTAAATGATTGTGACTTGTGATTTTCCTAATACTGTAATTGTTTGATAGTTTGTTGTTTTTTGTGATTTCAGTTTTGTCTTTAGTCTTTTCTGTCGTTTTGTTTACGATCTGTATGGTTGTAATGACGAAAATGATGTTCACACTCTTGTTGTAGCCTCTCACACTCCCCTTGTGACAAAAATTTAAGGATGCTTTGTGATTTAAACATAGGTTATCAGCTAAATGATTGGTTACTTACCCGGGTTTTGTTTTTCAGGAATAGTTTATTAGCTGGCTATGGCTCTATTAGCATTGGCGTACTAACTTTTTTGAATATTTTAGCTTGTATAGTGTTGGGTGGGTTTATAGTGCGGCCATAATTTATTGCCTTTATAAACTAGCTGCTATTGATGTGGATTTCAATAGAGTAGCTGTTGGCTTATTTCTTAATCTGTTTTTAGCTATTGTAGGAATCTTAAATCTTCAATGTTCTGTTGCTACCTATTTTATGAAATCAATTTGATATTATAAACTTCAATTTTGTTAAATGACCTCCTTATTAAAAAGTTCATTTGTGATGTGGTTGCTGCATGGCAGGCTGATGATGCCTATTGATTTTTTTCCAATTTCTTTATTCTCTCATTTTTGTTTTTCTTGTTTGTTCCTGCCTTCCTGCAATTCCAGCTATGTTCTGTCTGGTGATGTCAAAATGTTGATTCACTGCCTAACAAACAATTAAGATTTTTTTTAGATATTGACTTGTAATTTGGTTTGTGATCGTAAATTAGTACATTTTGATTATACTCCATTAAGTGGAACCAAATATCAAACCAATAGAAGTTCACTTCTTCAAGCTCACTTTGAAGTCACATTCTCATATTGAGATGCAAATATGACCTCACAATCATTTTGGAACATCGCCGAGTACCAATTTCTCTTCTACTCTTGAAACTGTTATCCTGGTTTGCTGCAGATGGAGACTACACATCTGCCTGTTTTCTTTTGCAAACTTGTAGTGAATCAAGATGGACAGTTTTGAGACCCAGAAAGAAGAAAAAATATTAGGAAAGAAAGAAGGTGAGCAGTCCTTGGTAAAACTTGGGCCGCTGCATGTGTATTGGAATGAGGTCCCGCTAAGAAAATAAAGCCTTTTGAGGCTTCATTGTTAACTTGGGTCAAATATATTATACATAAGTTCAAAACTTGTATTCATTTTCAAGTACATTTTTATTTATAAGTTCCATCCTACTGGAGGAAAGGCTACTTTTATGCACACTCGTACATAATAATGGCATTGTCAATTTCAAACCTGAGAGTCAAATTACACCTCGGAGTCGTGTGCATAAGAATCCTGTTAATATTGCACTTACACACCACTGATAGTCATTTATTTGTTATTTTTTCAATATATGTATGCTCTTAATATAGCTAGTTGAAACATTCAGTAGAAAACATTACTGTTAGTCTTGTGTAGGTCTTCACTTCAAACAGATGTTAGAAACTTGAAATTTCAAAATCACTGTGACTTTTATTTCATCCTGTTTAACTTAGTGTGCGCGTGTTTACTAACCTCTTTGTGCTTTCTATTGAATTTGCAGTTACGTGTCCGGGTATAAAAACCGGTTCCAGAATTTTATTAGATATCTACGGGAAATGGGAGATGAGGTACTTATCTTTTTGCAAAAGTTTATTTTATTGAAGTAGTGATGTCTAGGAATAAATCCTTTTAATTATTAGCCATGCGAGCTTGAATTTAGCTTGTTGCATGCTCAAGCATCTTAACAAGTTTGACTTGATCTTGTGGTGGAATTAACTTGGTTTAGTTAAAGAAATATAATTTTTTTCCCCCGTTTTGAACGTGATTCGGGTTGGCAATCGTAAACTTTGAGTGGTGTCCATTGCAACAGTAACAAGCTTGTCCCAGCGTGACTGAACTCGGACTCTTTTGTTACTCTGTTTGTGGCTTCCCTGTGGAAGATGATCTTCTATTACCTTATCTTGGTATTTGGGAAGGAAACTTTTATTTCGTCTATCAATTTGGAAACTTGTCAACCAGATACTTAGCCAAAATCTTTCTTTCGTCAAGTATTTTAAAACTGATGTTTTACAAGTTAAAGATTTGAACTTATATTTTGGCATAGTTTCTATCAATGTCTTCTCATGATTAACTGCTAAATTGGCTTCTGAACACCTGTTGTAGGTGATGGTGGTGACAACACATGAAGGAGTGCCTCAGGAATTTTATGGAGCAAAATTGATTGGATCTCGAAGGTTGTAATTTCAAGATATTTTCTGTTATAACACTCCTTGTACTTCTTGTTTTGTTTTTACTTGCATTTTAATGCATCATTGTTTCTTTTGTTAAATACAAACTTGCACCTGTGCCTGTGCTATCAAGGTAAATCAAGAGATTCTATATCAATAAATACTTAAAATACCTATCTTAAGAATATGTTTTTGATATCTAGTCCGGATAACTTGCATATCTCCAACAAGTGCATTAATTCAAAATTGAGCTGCTTGACTATGTTCTAGAGCTTTGAGCTCTACGTTTCTCAATTCAAAATTGAATTAATTTCTTAAGCTCACAAATGTTACTTAATATTATTGTTACTAAATATGCTTGTAGTCTTCTTATAAGATTTCAGTAACAATCATTTCGAACATTAGTAGATTCTATACCTTCCCATATATTTCCCTGTCGTTAATTCCATAAGTGGACTAGTTGGTTGAACCTCCAGAACTATAAACAGCAAGATTTTTTGGTTTTGAAACACTGTTCTCGAAGTAATGTAGGGTGCATTTAACATTTTGAAGGAATACTTTTTTATGTAGATGTATAATATTTGTATCGTTCTTAAAGAAAAAAGTAATCTTACTTATTGTTTACCCTTTTTTTTCATGGTTCATCTGAACCATATAACTAACGAATGTATGCATTGCACTTTTTATCCAATGATCTGTATCTTAAAACATTGCTCTTTCCTAACAGTTTTCAATTCTTTTTGCAGCTTCCCCTTTCCCTGGTACCAGAAGGTTCCCCTCTCCCTAGCACTAAGCCCTAGAATAATCTCAGCAGTTGCCGAGTTTAAGCCTGATATAATACACGCATCATCCCCTGGTATTATGGTTAGTCTTTCAATCGCTCCTCTTGTTCTCGTATGACAGCATATTTTCAGTTCTTCCCTTAAAAGGTTGATCGAGGGAATTAACTCATGTTGCATTGTTGACTGTCTCTCTTTGTACCTGTAGGTGTTCGGTGCTCTCATTATTGCAAAACTATTGTGCGTTCCTTTAGTGATGTCTTACCACACACATGTTCCAGTGTAAGTAGGACTCATAGCTGATCTTCCTGGTAGAGTTCTTAGCATTCTCCAACCACACACATGTTCCAGTGTAAGTAGGACTCATAGCTGATCTTCCTGGTAGAGTTCTTAGCATTCTCCAGGACCCCATCCTCTCAAAAGTAGGATGCCGACTGAGATGGAACCGGGAGCCAACTTATATTTTGGCCTTGTTTGGTGCAGCTTATGGAGATGGAGATGCTTATAGTTTTTTTTTTTTTGGTTCTTTTTTTTTTGTGGAATCTATGCCAATGTTTGGTACAGTTTCTGCTTACAACTTACGAGCAAAAATTACTTTATATAAGTTGAGAAGCAAGGGAAGGGGTGGTTTTAGCTTCTGCTTTTTGATTATCAACTTCTAGCTTGCAAGAAATTGCACCAAACAGGCCCTTTTTTGGGACTTATATTGGGCCTGTTTGGTATAGCTTCTTGCAAATTGAAAGTTGATAATCAAAAAGCAAAAGCTAAAAACACCCCTTTCCTGCTTCTCAATTATCAGATTTTTTTCAGCTTCTTTAAGCAATTTCTGCCCTGTAAGCCGAAACTGCACCAAATCTGTACAGTAGAAAACCTCCAGATACATAAGAAATGTATATCTGCACTGTTTTTGACCTGTGAATATGTAAATCTGTACAGATATACAGATATACCAACACAAATGTGTATCTTTACTGTTGTTTCTCAACCTGTAAATCTGTCTGTTCTGTCATTATGATGCCATAGCTCCATAAACGTCAATCTAGTGCTTTGGGCTGAGCTGTTTCCTAATTTGCCTGCAGATACATTCCAAGATACACCTTTAGTTGGCTGGTCACACCTATGTGGTTGGTCATAAGTATGTGATTTTTCATTCTATCCTCAATTCAATACGGAGTCCAACTTTTCCTATTTGTGGACTAATAAATGAAAATTCTGTTCTTTTCTCAATAGAATTTCTTCATAGGGCTGCTGATCTTACACTGGTGCCATCAGCTGCCCTTGCAAAGGAGCTTGAAGCTGCTAGGGTAACGGCAGGTAAAAAAACACCTCTCATGCCTAGTAGTAGATAACTATGCTAACTTACATTGATTACAGTACATAATGGTTTTTATGCTTCTGCTTCAGATGCATTTGTGTTGGGTTTTTAAATATTTCTTACAAAATAGTCAAACACTTTGTACTGAAAACTGATTTTATGTTATTTCTTTGTTTATTTTCAGGTAACAAGATTCGTCTCTGGAATAAGGGTGTTGATTCCGAAAGTTTCCATCCTCAATTTCGCTCTCATGAAATGCGGTTAAGACTAAGGTAGGATCTTCTTTCAGTCCTGGCAATTTCAGTGCCATGAGATGTGACATGAGTTTCTTACAAATGCTAATATATCGTTCTTTTTTAATCAGCGATGGTGAGCCTGAAAGACCATTGATAGTCCATGTTGGACGACTAGGAGTTGAGAAGAGTTTGGATTTACTCAAAAGGTATTGGTTTCTGTTCCTAATGGAGAAAATTTTATTCACTTGTGCAACTTGGAAATATTACTTGCAAAACATGTGATGGAATGATAACATTTTCTATTTCTTAGCCCATCAAGCTGAGAAGTCAAAAGGCATCGCGGGCTGAATAGGGGCTGAGTTGAATGAACTCCAAGTTCAGTTATTGAGCAGTTAATATACCCATGTTAATAAAAAGGCTTTGCCACTAAGACCTATATTCTGAGCTATCCCTTCAAAATTATATTCATCAATTAGAGTTCCATAATTGGTTTTGTCTAGATGGGGCATTCCTAAACTGATTGCATCGATTCAAATTTAAAGAGCATCTTGAACAGCATTTACTGTGATTTTTCCTAGAATTCATGGGAGTCGTGTTTGAAAGTTTCATTCACTTTACTAACAATTTTAATATTGTCTTTTTGGTCTCATTTATTGCAATGAGTAGTAGTTGTGCTAGTATCGATCACTACATAGTAATTGTAAGTTGTAAACATTTGTTTGATTGAACAGGGTCATGGATATGCTTCCGGAGGCACGAATTGCTTTTATTGGAGATGGGCCATACAGGTAATTGACTCGGAACTTATTGGCTGTTAATTTTTGTTAACTCGTTGCAGGAACATTCTACTATAATTTGCTGGTAATGCTATACAGACCCATTTGGAGAGTATCTTTTTTTTTTATAGAATGATGTGGCCTCTTGTGGTCCTTCCCTTTCAGGACAAAATACCCATCGTCGTGTCTCATAATCACAAAAATGGCACTGCCACATCAATCTGGATGGATTTTATGTATACAAATTCCATTTGTGAATTATTTTCTATAATTTACTATGAAGTCATTTTGTTGTACCAAAAGCCATCACCCTGCTGCCTGCAAACGTATGGATAAAGTATTTGTGACATGCAGTAGGGTGATAGATCAATCAATCATGAGACCTTTCTTTAAATTATGAGATAATCAAGTTCTTGAGCTGAATTTCCTTTGGGTATCTTAAAAGCCAACTTATTGGCAAAAAAAACCTTGGCTCATTTGGCAAACCCAATGCCCACTCCAAAAGGCCACTTTATTCACTAATTAGCTTATTTCCCATCCAAAGGCCCAACGAAAAGGCCAGCACGACCACTTTTATGGTTTTCTTATTTTTCCGTTACCCATCTTCTTTATTCCATTCTTGAACTATCACGGAAAATTGGTGATTTTGCATAAAAAAAAATGTTAGCAAGGTTACCAAAAAGAACTTCTTAGCTAGCTTCCAAGCGATACCCACAGCTTTGAAAATTACAGCAATAACTGGAAAAAAAATCATTACACTTTGCACCCAATGACTGTACAGACAAAGATGATCTCCTGGATATTTCGCCCTGTAAGAATCACCTGCAAATTTATTCACCAAGTAATTTTTTATTTCATTTTTTTTGGGCAGGGAAGAGCTGGAAAAGATGTTCTCAGGCATGCCTGCAGTATTCACAGGGATGTTAGGAGGCGAGGAGCTCTCTCAGGCATACGCCAGCGGGGATGTTTTCGTGATGCCTTCCGAGTCGGAGACACTCGGGCTCGTTGTTTTGGAGGCCATGTCATCGGGACTGCCTGTGGTGGCTTCACGTGCTGGCGGACTCATAGACATAATTCCTGAAGACCAAGAGGGTAAAACTGGATTTTGCTTCAACCCCGGTGACGTTGATGATTGTGTAAGCAAATTGAAGCCTCTATTGCACAACCGTGAGTTAAGAGAAACTATTGGCAAAGCTGCACGTGAAGAAACGGAGAAATACGGTTGGAGAGCAGCTACCAAAAAGATACGCAACGAACAATACAATGCTGCGATTTGGTTCTGGCGGAAGAAAAGAGCGCAGTTTCTGAGACCATTCCAATGGCTATTCAGGCTCATTTTTCAGGCACCAGAAGTAAACTACAGGTAATACATATATATATACAAAATTCAAGTTCTTGAAGCATATTTTGGGCTTTAAGGACTTCTGGGATGTCTGTGATTGCTTGCTTTGCTTATTTGTGCTGGATATATATTGAATTGTATAATATGGACCACAAGGTTTGGTCAGTTTGTGTTGTCTACTAATTGATTTGGATGTAATCTCTTTGTAATAACATGGGGACGTCACAGTTTATTGCGTAGTTGCTTAGTTTGTAACGTCCCTATCTTTTAAAAGGAATTCTATTACTTGATGCAATGAAAGCTTTATCAGCAAAAAAATCTGTCCAAACCAGTTGTTTGATCTTCAACCATATGACCTTTGGAGTTGTGAATTTCTGTGTGCAATTTGTTCTTTTCATGCCCCTTCAAACTCGTATTAGTCTACATTGCTGAATTTGTGCCATTTTCGTTGGGAATAAACGTTTTTTAGTTACTTTTTGGTTTTTTAGGCACACCAAAAAAAAAAAAAAAAAAAAAAAAAAAGAAGCAAAAAAAATAGAGAATGGATCTGATCTTTTTGTAATGACTTTGTTTAGTCTGGTTGGCAACTTCACTTTTTAGCTTAAAAGTTAAAAAAAAAAAATACTGAAAAAGTTAAAAATTAACAAATTATACAAAAAAATATCGAGAATTTCTTCTCTTATTTTTATATATATATATTTTTTTTTGTAAAAAAATTAAAAAAATCATTTTAAACAATACTATTCACGGTTTGTTTTCATTTTTGAAAACACTTTTTAAAAAATTTTATTTTCTTATTTTCAGTATTTTTTTGTTTTTACTGTATTTTTTTAATATTTGAAGTAATTTTTTTTTAATTTTTAGACAAACTTAACATAAATGTACTTAAAAAGTATAATTTTTGTAAATTTTTTTTAAAAAAATTCACTAAGTATCAAAAATACAAAAAAAAAAAACGTAAATATAGTATATATTTTTTTTGTATTTTTGTATATTTATTAATTTTTTAAAATATTTTTTATAAATATTTTACTTTCTAGATACATCTAAGTAAGGTGCATCTAAAAAAGTAAAACATAAATGCACTTAAAAAGTATAATTTTCATAAAAAAATCTTTAAAAAATTCACTAAATACCAAAAATATAAAAAAAAAACGTAAATATAGTATATATATTTTTTGTATTTTTGTATATTTATTAATTTTTTAAAATATTTTTAATAAATATTTTACTTTCTAGATACATTTAAGTAAGGTGCATCTAAAAAAGTAAAAAAAAAATGCTTAAAATTTTAAAAATATTCACTAAAAATAAAAAAAAAATGAAAAACAGAAAAGCTCAATTTTAAAAAAAATGAATTTAGAAAATTAAAACCAAACACATTGATTAAATTTTTTTTATCTTATATTTTAAGTATTCCAAACGAGGCCTAACTTAACTGCTTTCCAACCAGAATGCCAATGTATTGGTGCTTGTGCATGGATGGTGCAGTTATTAGCCAACACAAATGGATGATGTGAATGCATCCTTGGTTAACCCTATCCCTTTTTTCTTTTTTCTTTTTTATTTTTTTTAAAGAATCAATATGATACGATCTATGCAAGGCTTCCAAGTGAAATTCAATAGTTTGTATAAGAAATTTAATTTTCTTGTATCTCTTAATATTTTTCATGCTAAACAGAAGCTGTTTTTCGTTTTTTCTTTTTTTAATTTTTTGTTAACTCGACAAATATCAATGCTATTGCGAAAAATACATTTTCAAAGCAAGCAAACACGGCATCTTCCAAAAAAAAACACGGCATCTTCCTTCTTCAATGTAACTCGTTACAATTGACCAAAAGCTTTGTAGCTTGATGGCTTGTAATTTGGCTGGCCAACTGAGTGGTTTGAGTGTCATGGATGATGCTCTTACTCGTTGGTTCTCCCTCTTCTTGCTAACATGTAACTCATAATTTCTATTAACGTAATCCAATTGAGTTAGCTTAATTAGCTATTTATGTACACTCATTATGGTACTCTTTTTTAGATTGATTATTGAACTGGTAGACATTTTCTTTTTTGGGCTCACATATTTGTTAGACTATAATTGTTCCATCCTAATTTTCTTCATATAAATACTCGTATCGATTTTAAAAAAACCTTATTACAAATCAAAAGATGAATTATCCCAAATTGGTTAGTGTGGGGACATATTTCTTGAATGATAGCACGTGGCCAAGGTGGCATCGAAGTGCCAGCCGAGGTGCCACGTATCCTAATTATGACACCGAGGTGATCTCGGCTAGACCGATGTTACCTGCAAAGATACCGGAATCCGAGATGAACGGATAGGGAACAAGAGTCCTAGAATGAGGGAGGACCTCAGCCTGGATAAGGATAAAACTCTTAGAGAGTTATCTTTATCTATTGGAGAGTCCGAGATAAGTATTGAGCCAGAGTCCATTGAAGCTAGGCTTCTACAGGGATCAGGTCAGTGATTGCTATAAAAGTAAGGCACCCTCGTGGGTCTAAGGTACGCTTTTTGTATTCTAGCTTGTGAGTTAAGCACAATTTGGTTATCTTTAAGAGATATTGCTTACTGACTTGATTGTCGGAGTGCCCTCGGGTGGAAAAACCACTGCCGGAGTCTTTTCTTTCTGTGACAGGTCGTTCGGGCGCAATCTATTCTGCCGCTGTTCTCCAGCTAAGTACTTGTTTGGCAGTGTGGTCAAAAAACAACACAAATAATTTGGCACCGTCTGTGGGAAAGAAAGGAGAATAGATGGCCAACGACGGACAGAAAGAGAAGATTGGGGACAACATCCCTACTGGAAGTGGTAAACACTTTGATCCCAACGTTGAGGAGGATAACTGCAACGAAGAAACTCGGGATCAGAATCCCGGAGAGAAGGACGTCAGCCAGGAGGGAGACGCACCAAAGAAGGCAGACCGAGGCAGGTATTATAACGATAATGACCTCTAGGTGTGGAAAGATAGATGCCTGCAGAGAGACGGAGAGATGAAGGGAATGGCGAATAAATTGGCAGACCTGCAATCAGTAGTTAATTTCATGATGCAGAACAACGTCATGCAGCCACCGTTTTCGTTACAAGATACGCCGATTCCAGCGGCCAAGAACAATGCCCAAAAATGGGAGCAAAAAACAGTCCCTACAGTCCCCCAACACACTAGGACTAAGGAACACTCTCACCGACCTTCAAGGGAGGTCGGGCGAGGAGATTCAATGAAGGGAGATTCTTGGAGGACACATCGTACCAAAGAAGCTGACCCCAAAGAACATCGGCATGTTCAAGGAAAGGAACTTTGTTTCGACACAACTAATGGAGAGAGATCCAAGAGGACTCATAACGATACCGGGAGTAGCGTACCAAAAAGGCTGAAATCCGTTGATAGCTGAGCTCCTAGACGGATCAAGGAGGATCTAAGGGATTACCTCTAGAGGAAGCGACAAGATGCTGAGGTAACCTCTCTGGTCAAGCTGAGATCTCGGTTGAATTGGACAAGTTTGAGGCCCCGAAAAGTTTCCACATGCCAAGATTCCAGATATACGACAGTAAGTCTGATCCTAAATTTCATGTCGGCTTGTACTTGAACTCAATGGCGTTATACACCGGGAACGAGCTGTTGCTCTGCAAGGTGTTCCCCTCATCCTTTGGAGAAATCGCATCAGACTGGTTTCACAAGTTGCTAAAAGGAATTGTAAAAAGCTGGGAGGGCCTAGCCGAGATGTTCGTGGCTAGATTTGTGACAAACAAACTACAGCCATTGACGGTGGACTCCCTGATGGCTCTAAGAATTGGCGAGGATGAAAGCCTTAGGGCCTATGCCAAAAGGTATTATGAGGTGTTCAACTGAATACCAGGATGCAACCAAGAGGTGGCAGTTGCGTCTTTTAAGAACGGCCTAAAAAATGATTGTCTGCTTCGAAAATCACTGGCAAAGACACTACCAAAGAGTATGGAGGAACTTATAGCCAGGATAGAAAAGTATTCCAAGGCCGATAAGGACACGCCGGGGATAAAGGCATCAAAACAGGAGAAGAGAAACAGCTCGCCCAAGCGAGGTCGAGGTAATGGAGGATACAATAAACAAGAGACAGGACTAAGGGTTGCCCAAGCAGTCACAATCATATTCTGAATTTCGATTTACAAAGTATTAGAGAGAATCCAGAATCAGCCCTATTATAGAGCACCAGAGAAACTTCTTGGTGAATTTATGGGAAGAAGTCTGGGGAAACACTGTGCCTACCACAACGAGGATGACCATCTAACTCAAGGGTGCAGAGCCCTAAAGGCACATCTGGAAGACCTGGTAAGACAATGTCATCTAAGGGACCTGGTAGATGAAACCAAGGTAAAGGAAGAGCAAGCGAGACTGCCTCAGGCATCGGCAGCACCACCTTCACCAGCACCGCAACCACAAGCAGGTGGACCTCGAGTGAACAATGTGATTCACTCGAAGGTCAATGAGAACGAGATACGTAGGGAAACTCAGAAGGTAAAACACTTGCAACATGTGTATCAGGTCTGGCAGAAGAGACTTAGGGCAGACGAGTGCCAGGGACCAGTGGTGTCCTTTACTGAAGATGACCTAGACATGGTACAGCATCCACACAACGATGCCTTGGTAATATCCCTCCAAATTGGAGAATGCCAGGTAAAGCGAATACTGATCGACCAGGGCAGCTCTTGTGACATCATGTGTGTCCGATGTTACAAGGAGCTTGGCCTTCACCAAGATGATCTGGAACAATCCAATGGTCCAATGGTCGGGTTTAATGAAACGCCGACGTGGCCCTTGGGAGCAGTAAGTTTGGAGGTGCAGACTGGCACCAAGAAGGTAAAAACTGAGTTCACAATAATTGACACTCCCTCCCTTTACAATGCTATCCTGGGAAGGCCATGGCAGCATACAATGGGGGCTGTTCTCTCAACATTGCACCAGCTGTTGCGATTCCTAACAGAGCATGGAATTGAGGAGGTTAGAGGGGATCAGGTGCAGGCAAAGAATTGCTCCATAGCAGCAATAAAATCCACCTACAATATATGAGAGGCAGAAGCTGCGGAGATTGAGGATAAGGACATGGAAGTCCTTGAAGACATCGGCAAAGAACCAGCCGAGAAAAGTGAGGAAGCCCTGAAGAAGATCTTAGTCCAGCAAGGAAATGAAGAGCGCTTCTTCTTTCTCGGCTCAGAATTGGCCGAGGAAGAGGAAAAGGAATTAGAAGAATTCTTGAGAGCAAACCTTGAGGTGTTTGCTTGGACACCGTACGAGATGCCTGACATTGACCCCGAGGTCACTTGCCATAAATTGAATATGGACAGGTCGGCTAAACCTGTCATCCAGCGAG